CTGTGTCTGTGTGTGTGTCTGTGTCTGTGTGTGTGTGAGTGTCTGTGTGTGTGTGTCTGTGTGTGTGTGTCTGCGTCTGTGTGTGTGAGTGTCTGTGTGTGTGTGTGTGTGTGTGTAGTATTTGAATTTTACATTAATGATATAATTAACTTTACTGAGTATTTTATTTTGATTTGTTTTAATTTTGAAATTATTTTAATTTTACATGTTTTATTATATAATATAAATATATTTTTTTATATTGTTTTTATTTTAAAATTATTTTATTAAAATGTTATGTTTTATGATTTAATTGATAAGTGCTTCCTTTGCTTTAATAAAAAAAAATATGTAATGCATTTTAATTTTACATTCTTATTATTTTATAATTTTGTTTTTATTTTAAAATAATTTTAATTTTTATGATTTAATTACTTTTTTGTACGTGTCTTATTTCCATAGGTTTGGGTTATTTATTTTAATGTACATTTTTAATTATTTCATAAATTTTAGTGAGTGCATTTTTATTTGGAATGTTTGTTTTTTTACTTAAAATAATTTACTTATTTTCCATTTTTTATTTTATTCGTTTTTATTAAATGTTTTATTATGATTTTATTATGTTTTAAGTAAGTTTTTATTAATTTATTAGTATTATTATTTATTATTTATTATATTAATTATTTTATAATGTATTATAAATTATTTATTTTGAAATTAATTTATTATAATTTCACATTTTTATAATTTTAATTCATTTTAGCGCACGATTGTGTGGAGTGACAGCAGCAAAATAATGCACAGAACTAAAGAATAAAACCTGAGCTTGGCTAAATCATCAGTCCAGACTTTCACAGAAACACAGACGTAACTCAGCTCTCTGTGTCTCTCTCAGCTCAGAGACGCGTCCATCGTTGAGCTGAAGGTCAAAGTTCAGGAGCTCCAGACCGCTTTGGCCAAATCCAGCGAGGAGCCGTCCCAGCCTAAACAGAAAGGAGAGCATCATGGGATGGACAGAAGCACAAGAAAAGCCCACAGGAGCTCCTCAGAGCAGTCGGAGAGCTCCTCGCTGCAGGAGGTGATGCTGGGATACGAGGAGAAGATCGCACAGATGCAGGAGCTGCATGCGGCTGAGATCCTGGACATGGAGGCCAGACACATCTCTGAGAGCGAGAGCCTGAGGAGAGACAGCCAGCGGCTGGAGGACGAGTGCCGAGTGCTGAGAGACGCCATCCACACGCTCCAGAGCTCACAGGTCAGCAGTGTTCGTTTTGACAGCAGATTTAGTTTTAGTCATAGTCTTTTGACTAAAATGCCGTAAATAAAACCACTTCTCATAAAGAACAAGAACATGGTCTACTTTTTATGGTTACACAGGCTAATTATGCATTCTTTATAGCAACATGTTTACCATATTCTTCATTCTTTCAAGCAGACATATTTATTTCTATAAATAAATTTAGATTCATCTTTAGGGCTACTAAAGTTTTTCAGTCAAGAGCAGTGCGTGATTTTCTGTCTTTCTGTTGTTGCTTGATTAATATCAATGACTCAATAGCAACTAAATTAGGCTGCTGTCCCTTTAAAACCGAATGCACGGATGCAATGGATGCAATGTACTGATACACGTTCTCTCTACTGTTTACGTTCACTTAAGACGTAATCAACTGTGTTTACGTGAATACTCGTCAAAACTGACAATTCGACATCATTCTGTGTATGTAATTCTCCGTTCATGCGACGCGAAAGAGTACTGTGAGAGGCGCTTTCTCTGTGTGTGCGCTTCAGTGTATGCTTCAGCAAACCGGACCGAATTGAGTTCTCTCTTGCGTCGTCAGATTTATCCATATGTCTGCTCATATTGACATTTTTGAACGTTTTATGCGACGTGCAGCAAGTGTATGTTAGCTCATGTCCCGCCGGTTCATATGTGCGCATCTAACCTCCGAACCACGCAGCAGATTCGTTCTGAATGAATCTCTTCCCAAATCGTCCCTCGCTAACTTTTTCGTCTCGTTTTTTATTTTATCGTTGACGAAAATTATTCGTCAGCGAAATTAACACTGCAGGTCAGATATATGCGTGATTCATTCACTCAGCTACCCTTGTGTTTCACAGACAGGGCTTAGACTAAGCCAGGACTGGGCCATAGTTTAACCTCTTAACTGTATACGGGACGCCTAAGTTTACTTCACTATAGTACAATTAAATCCTAATGTAATCATTGGAAAGGTCTAAGACTCCTAAATAGATATTTTACCATTTTATTTTGTTACATATTATGTAGGAACAGTAATAGATTCATTTATGACAAGAGTGCACCAAGAGTCTGACAAATCATAACAGCAGTTCTGACTTTTTTAAACAAAAGGGCTTTATTTCGTTGCCTTTTTCCCCATCTCATGTTTTAGTAATCATCATAAGTTATATACCATTGAAAGCTTAAAATCTCAAAATTCATCCTGTGAAAACCATTTTGAAATCGGACATTGCTTTATCATTGAAGTGGTACTTTAATATCTTTTCGCGGTCTTCTCCCTCTTAGCGGGGGTGTCATATTACAAAATGTATTACGGTATTTTAGAATCAAAACTTTATAATCTTGACAAAGTGCATATCGTTGGGAAGGTCTGAGTCTCGAGATTCCATTAGATTGGTGGTTATTTTGTGATAGACATAATATTGAGAGAGAAATTAATAGATTTGTGACAGAAATGCATTAAAAAAAATCAATGGAGTTTGGGTGGCACCCGGTGGCTGTTTGTGGTATAACGCCTAAACAAAATTGCATATGAACCTCAATTTTTTTAATATCAACTTCAAATTTGGAACACAACTTATGTAGGCATATGGCTTTAATTTGATATTTTATACTATTTTTAAAAATATTTATTTTATATCAAATTAAATAAAAATAGTACAATACATTTTCTTTACAGTAAATTTAAACTTCTATAACTTTTAATACTTTCATTTTATTAAATGATTTTCACTTCTGTAATAATCTGCTAATTGTCTTCTTTAAAAAGAGACCAGCCTTAGGCCTGTATTCAAAAGCGTTCATGAATTATAATAATTTAAGTTTGGATAGTGCACTCGTGAATTTTCAAAAACGGGGATGACAGTTAAGGGGTTAAGTAATTTTTCATAAACGTGCCTTAGAAAACACATTACTGGTGTGCCTCTTGAGACGAAGCAAAGGTACTGATGTATTTTAAGATCAATCAGAGCAAGTTTCTTTCAGTTGAAACGGCTCAGACTTACACTTTAGTCTGGGACTAGTCTTAAGCCTTGTCTGTGAAACCCAGGGTCTGTGTTATTTTAGTATCAATGAGATATTTCTATTTTAAAATTATTTAATTATTGTAATTTTACATTTGTATTATTTATTTCATTTTATATTTATTAATAATATTTTTTTATATTTTTATCATTTTTTTATATTTTAATATTTATTTTTTGATTTTATATTTTCTGTTTTCATTTAAAATTTAGTTTTTATTTCAGTTTTAGTTATTTCAGTACATCACGTTACACTAAATGAAAATGAGAAATGTTGCACTGACTGTAGTTTTTATTAATAATGTTAATTAGTTTTTCATTTTTATATTTTCTGTTTTCAATTTTAATGTTTTAGTAATTTAGTTTTTTGTCGTTTTTTTTATAGTTTTTGTTTTTATATGAATATATAATTTTAAAAAAATATTTCTGTTTTAGTTTTAGTTATTTTAGTACATCAAGTTAAACTAAATGAAAATGAGAAATGTTGCCTTGGCAACTAGCTAAAATAAAATAAGTTTTATGTATATTTTATTTTATTTCAGTTAATGTTTAGTTTAAACTAACTAAACCAAACCAAACAAATGTGTTTGTGGTTTAAGTTTGCTCTAATAACCCTGAAGTTGCTTCAGAGTCACAAAGATGGTAGAGTGACGATTAAAATGCTTTCTTTTTACTTTGTTACATGTGTAAAAAATCTAAATGTAACATTCATGAAAATAGTCATTTTATTTAGTTTTTAAATAGCATGCACTAATGAATAATTCACAATAAAACCAGAAACCAGATAAATAGTCAGTTTTGAAATTCTCCTTTAAACTCAAATAAATGTGTCTGTATTGTTAGTGATATCAGATGATGTTTTTCTCAGGCTCCGTCAGTGAGGTCTGAACATCCAGCGGTCTCTCCGTTTAAAGATGGATACGCCAGTGGTGAGAGGTTTATAATTACTACAAATATACATGTTTGTTTTATGTTATGAGTCGTAAACACTAATGTTTAAAAATTTAGGGTCAGTACATTTTTTTTATATTTTTTGCTTTTTTGCTCTCCAAGGCTGCATTTATTTAATGAAAAATATAGTAAAAATAGTGAAATATTATTATGATGTAATATAGCTGTTTTCTATGTGAATATCTGTTAAACTGTAATTTATTTCTGTGATGCGCAGCTGAATTTTCAGCATCATTGCTCCAGTCTTCAGTGTCACATGATCTTCAGAAATCATAATAATATGCTGATTTATTATCAGAGCTGAAACTGTTATTTTTTTTTGGAAGCTGTGATGCTTTTTTCAGGATTCTTTGATGAATGAAAAGTTAAAAAGAAGAGCGTTTATTTAAAATAGAAATCTTTTCTAACAATACACACTACTATTTTAAAGGATATTAAAATAGAAACCATTATTTTATATTGTAATAACATTTTGCAAGATTACTGTTTTTTTCTGTATTTTTGATCAAATAAATGCAGCCTTGATGAGCAGAAGAGACTTCTTTAAAAACATTACAAGTCTTACTGATCCCAAACTTTTGAGCGGCAGTGAAAGTAACTACTGCAGAAGACATCAGTCCTGATTGGATATCTTCCCAAATCATCTTTTCGTCTTGTTTTGATTCGCTGACGAAAACGAGAGTGTATTTCAGTTTTAGTTTTTGTCATTAAAACACAGTTTTTATTTAGTAGTCGTCTCGGTTTTTGTTGGTGAGAAAATGTCGTTGACGAAAATGGACTTCGTCAGTGAAATTAACAGATCACAAATGTCTTTACTGGCACTTTTGATCAATTGAACGTGATCGTCCTTGATGAATAAAAGCATTGAATTCTCATGTGTGTGTGTGTGTGTGTGTGTGTGTGTGGTGACGGTGAGGAAATTTTCCCACCGGTTAATCGACGTGTGACAACACCGGTAATACGGTATCACCGCGGGGGTGGGGGCGTTCCCTCTTTTTCTCAGACGGGAGTCACCTGCAGCAGGAGAAGCGCAGCACACCTGAAGGAGCGCGCCGAGACACGGAGCCAGACCTTCTGCCCGACAGGATCAAGGTGAGTTTGCTGGAGAACATCTGACTGCATAAAGAAGGGCGGATGAGGAGCTCAGGGAGCAGGGATGGTTTTGGCCATTTCTCATTTGTGACCCTGGAGCACAAAACCAGTCATAAGGGTCAATTTTTCGAAATTGAGATTTATGCATCATCTGAAAGCTGAATAAATAATCTTTCCATTGATGTATGGTTTGTTAGGATAGGACAATATTTGGCTGAGATACAACTATTTGAAAATCTGGAATCTGATGGTGCAAAAAAATCTAAATATTGAGAAAATCATCTTTAAAGTTGTTCAAATGAAGTTCTTAGCAATGCATATTACTAATCAAACATTAAGTTTTGATATATTTACAGTAGGAAATTTACAGTAGGGATGCATAATGGAGATAATGAAAATATCTGAAGACCGTTATGAAAAGGAATGTTAAAAATACAAATATTTACATAGACAGAAAACCTGTCTATGAACACATGATTAGAACACTGTTAGATTATGATTATGATGCAGCAATGTTATTAAAAAAGAAGCATCTAAAAAGGAATAGCTGCCTGAGGTGAAGCTGACTTTGTCAATAAACTGAAGCCCTAACTCATCCTATGATATTAATCACATAACTTAGATACATAACATTACAACTTGTATCTGCACAAAAGCATGCAAATGCCAGTGAACTTGAAGTTACACGCTATAGCGAGCGAGAGAGAGAGAATTTACTATAGATTTCTATAAAGTTCTCATCATAATGCTGTGTTTATGGTAGGTTTGTGCTATATTTTCATCTACATTATCAAGTGATTCCTGAGATCACCTGTGCGTTTTCAAAGCCATATGAAGTACGGAAACTATTTTAATTGAAGTATGCCTGCTGTTGAACAAATATGACGAAAAAAGCACTGCTGTGTTATTATAACATCAGTATTTAAAAAAAAGAAACATCTAAAAGTAGGGATGCACGATATTATCGGAATCAGCTGATGAAAGTAAAATACACGAATAACATTTAGACTGTGTTTCTGAATAAATAAAGCAGTCAAAATCACGAGTATATTTTGATTTAAAGGTCAGGAGCTATAGCTCACATGAATAAAAAAAATCACAAAATGACACTAATGATTATATTAATAATGATTTATTCATTAATGTGTAATATGTTATATTTTTTAAACAAATTATGAGCTCTAAAATATTTTCAAGAGCAAAAAACTTTTGCTTTAGACCATCTACAAATGTTAAATCATAAAATAAAATGCTACTGCATCTTTCTGGAAAAAAAAAAATGCAGCGATTGATATATAGTTTATTTATAGTTATTTTCAAAGCTTCAGTGTATTGTCAGTCATTATAAAAGAACTTCGTTACTGTTTATTTAACTCTAACAAATAAGTTCTTGTTAAAAACTAACCAAAATTAAAAAATGATTAGCTTATAATTTCCGCACAGGAGAGACTCGGTGTTGTTTCCAAACAAAAGGGAATATATCGGTATCGGCCGAAATGAGTTGAAAATATCGGCTTATCTGCAAAAATCCAATATCGTGCATCCCTATTTAAAAGCAATATGACCGTCTCAAATAACTCAGTCAATATCGGGCATTGCATTTGAGCATGAAACACTGGTAATATGCAGCGCATTCAGCATGTTAATAGTTAAATGTTAGCATCCCAATGCATCCTATATTAGATTAATCAGATATGTATGTAGCTAACCCAGACATCACTACCTGACTTCGAAGCCATGCTTCTCTCTCTTCACGAAAGAGATTTTGGCACCAAAAAAGCATGGAATAGAACCATACAAAAGTGTTTTGGATTAGACGTAAATAAATTAAAACAGCGTCCAGTAACTGTGTGTGTGTCTGTGTCTCTGTATGTGTCTTTGTATGTGTGTGTGTGAGTGTGAGTGTGAGTGTGTCTGTGTCTGTGTCTGTGTCTGTCTGTGTGAGTGTGTCTGTCTGTCTGTGTGAGTGTGTCTGTGTCTGTCTGTCTGTCTGTCTGTCTGTGTCTGTCTGTCTGTCTGTCTGTGTCTGTCAGTGTGAGTCTGTCTGTCTGTCTGTCTGTGTCTGTGTCTGTGTCTGTCAGTGTGAGTGTGTGTGTGTGTGTGTCTGTGTGAGTGTGTCTGTGTGAGTGTGTCTGTGTGTGAGTGTCTGTGTGTGAGTGTCTGTGTCTGTCAGTGTGAGTGTGAGTGTGTCTGTGTGTGAGTGTCTGTATGTGTGTGAGTGTGTGTGTCTGTGTGAGTGTGTCTGTGTGTGAGTGTCTGTGTGAGTGTGTCTGTGTGTGAGTGTCTGTGTCTGTGTCTGTGTCTGTGTGAGACACACACTGCTCAATCTGAGTCCAATTTTGTGCTGTGCAGTGGGGTATGTGAATAATGGCAGTGAAAAAATAACCACAATTCTTAGCAAATAATAAGAATAATGGAAATTGCATGTAAACGGGAGTGACATGTAGACATCACAATGCAATTAAGTCCTTGCTCTGATTATTGGATGTAATGTAAATGCCTGTAAATGGAGCTGTGTTCACACAGAGCCTGCTGCGCGAGGTGCATCAGGAGGGCATGCAGGTGCTGTCTCTCTCCGAGCTGCCGCTGTCTGAAGCGGATCGAGCTCCTCAGAGCTGGAGCAACGAGAGAGACGCCTTCATGAACACGGTCGAGTCCCTCCAGCTCCTCGTCAGCACGCTGCAGACGGACACACAGGTGAACACACACAAACTCCTTCACAATGCAGGCCACTTCCGTGAAGAAATGAAAAAATGATGTTGTGTTTGATGACACACATTGCTCATTTAATCATGCATGAACTCTTGTAGAGATTACAAGTAAACTAATTAATTAATAAACGTAATAATAGGAAAATAACGGAATAAATGGCATGATTAAAAAAATGCAATTCGTTTTAATTATATTTAGGCCTAAATAAATGTAATTTTAATTGTTTTATTTTTACTTATTATATATATATGTATTTGTATAAATATATATTTACAGTTATATAAGGGTCAAAGATGTTAAGATGTCCGCATCGAAAGAAATGTACAAAAGTGATTTTATGTCCATAGAAAGCACTTTAAATGTAAGCAAATTGTCTACTTTTAAGGTTTTGGAGAATAAAATGTCAAAATTTGGTTGAAATAATGTTACATTGTCATTCAGTGGAACACAATATTTATCTAAAAATTCAAACAACATGTTTATTCTGACCTGTACATATTAAAATATATAAAAGAATTAAGAGCATATTAAATTTTGTTTTAAATGAGTAAAAAATTCTTACTGACAAATGGGCGAAACCTAGGATAGTGGCACATTTTAAAAATGTAAAATTACTACTAATTAGTATTTGGGGTGAAAGTAATTAGTCTTTTAATGTGTCATAAATTGATTTTTGTTGTAAATATGCCTGAGAAGATTGTTACACTGAATGATATTTTAGTGGGTGTCTTCTGTAAATCAGGGGAAAATGTATCATATTTATTTTTTTGCTCAGAAAAACAAAAACAAAATTAAATTAAACAGAATTTTTTTTTTTAATTTTGGGAAAACCACAACAATTTAAAGCAGTATTACACTTATTGTTTTTATGCTTAAACCCTTTTTCGTCTTTGACCTGTATTTATTTTGATTTGACACTTTAGTGATTCATTTTGATTGTTTTTATTTTAAAATCCTTTATGTATTTAAATTTTGCATTCTTCTTTTGTTTTTAGTAAGTCATTTTCATTTTATTTAATCTTTATGAGGTTTATTTAACTTTAGTGTGCATTTTTAATTTTGATTGATTGTTTTTAATTTAAAATAATTCATTTAAATTTTACATTTCTGTTATTTTTATTAATTTTTATGAAGTGTTTTAAGCTTCTTTGAGTGTTTTATTTCGATTTATTTTTACTTACTCGTTTTAATTTCGCATTTAATGATTGAATTAATTTTAGCAAGTTTTATTGTGCTTTTTTAATTTCAAAATGTATTCTTTTTTTATTATATTTAGCCCTTTGTGAAATATTTCCTTTTATTTTAAATGTTTTATTCTTTCACTTATTATTTATTTATTTATGAATTCATTTATGTTTATATTTATTACTTTATAAATTTGATTGTATTTAATTTAAAATCATTTATTAAAATTTTACATTTCTGTTATTTTTATTACTTTTTATAAAGTGTTTAAGCTTCATTGAGTGTTTGTTTGTTTTTCAATTTATTTTAACTTATTAATTTTAACTTTGCATTTTATGATTTAATTAATTACTATTTATTATTTATTTGTAAATTCATTTGTGTTTATATTTATTTTCGTATTTATTTGTTTATTTTTAATTTGTGCAACATGGAAATAAGGGAGGCGGTCCTGATTGGACAAAAAAAAACTCTAAATTTGAAAAAAATTTATAAATGAAAGAGTAATAAAGTAAATAAAATAAAAATTCAAACAATTCAAAAAATAAATTATAAAGGTAAAAGTAATAGATTAGGACTACAATTAAAAATGTATTTGATCAGTTCATGTATTCCTTTATGTTCCTGTTATGGTTTATTTTAGCGTGTTTGGTCCTGCGCTAGTTCAGACGTGTTTTGTGTTCTCGGTGTCTGTAGCTGGATGGCGACTGGCGAGCGGAGCTGCTTTCAGCTGTTCAGCAGGTGTTTGTTCAAGAGCGAGACGTGCTAAAAAACATCTTATACTCTCATCTGGAGCGACTGGACACGGCTGACGCTGTCATTCATCTCAACCAGCTGGAGAGAGCGCTAGCGGAGCAGGTTAGCATGCGCCATTACTACTCAGACAGCAGATATAATTGATGATATTTTTCTACTAGTGTGTGCAGGACACTATAGTTCATTAATGTAAGCGAGGAGAGCAAGATAAAGTAAACTGTGACACATTATACCCAGAAACTCTTCATACAGGGGACTACCGGATCAGAAATGATTCAGACACTTTGACCTGAGCATGTTTTGCTGAAGTGTTTTTCTTTAATTGCTAATGCGAGCTTTTTACACCACAGACTGAACTAAATGAAGCACTGAGTTGAGCTAAATTGGTTAAATTTAACAGCTGACAGCTATTCAACCGAATTCATTGCATACCTTTCTATCAAAGTTATCTGACATTATCAAGATGAGTTTGTTCTGATGCAGTTCTTCTCGTATTTTATTACCGTTTTATAAACTATAGCCAATAAACTGTGATATAATGTGAGAAATGTTGAAGGTGTCTGAATACAGTTTGGTTTGACTGCATATATTAGATATTAGGGATGTATCGATATCAAAATCTCACGATACGATAATATCACGATGTGAAGTCCACGATGAGATATTTTTTGCGATATAAAAAAAAAGAAAGGGGAAAAGGTGTTTTTTTTTTTTTTTCTTCTTCCCAATAATTAATCATTGCGTCATCAGATCTGTTACTTTGGCTTTATATATGATAGATGAATTAATAGATAGAGCTAAATTAACAGCATCACGTTTTCATCAGTTCGCAGGTTGTAAAGTTTATTGTAGCTATATGGGCGCTCAGTTTCTCTTGTTGTTTAATGCATTTGGCCGAAATCTCACGATGTAAAAGACGAAGCACTATGCACAGGATATTTAAAACGTACAAAAGTGTGTTGGCTACAACTAGGCTAAGAATCTTCTCTGCTCGTTAAACACACACAAACATTCGCCTTTATAGACAGCGTTTAAAGTGAGTAAAGAAATGCTGTACTTATTCGAACATGAGTTCTTTATTACCGTTGCATTGTGAAGAAGTAGACGTCTGTCTTCAAACTGTGCGTCGCAGCACTTCGTTCTGAATGGAGGAGGGGTGGAGCTATGAGGTTTGATTGACAGGTTGAGGATCCAATGGCGTTACGAGGTTTAGTCACAAGCTCCTTTGAATGCTTTTCATTGGTTGAATGTTTGTAAATCCCACACACAGGCATAACGATGACCGATAGCACTGGTTTAAAATAATAATGACGAATTATGTGAGCCTGGAGCACAAAAGCAGTCTTTAGTCGCTGGGGTATATTTGTAGCAATAGCCAACAATACATTGTATGGGTCACAATTATAGATCTTTCTTTTATGCCAAAAATCATTAGGATATTAAGTAAAGATCATGTTCCATGGAGATATTTTGTAAATTTCCTACCGTAAATATATCAAAACTTAATTTTTGATTAGTAATATGCATTGCTAAGAACTTCATTTGGACAACTTTAAAGATGATTTTCTCAATATTTTGATTTTTTTTGCACCCTCAGATTCCAGATTTTCAAATAGTTGTATCTCGACCAAATATTGTCCTATCCTAACAAACCATACATCAATGGAAAGCTTATTTATTCAGCTTTCAGATGATGAATAAATCTCAATTTCGAAAAATTGACTCTTATGACTGGTTTTGTGCTCCAGGGTCACATATAATAGAGATAAGGAAGTTTTTGATCATTTTTCACGGCTCACCCGACAGCCTGTCATTGGGAAACACTGTATTACATATTAATGTAAACACAGATTGTAAGGGTGTGTTGTGTTCAGGACGCGCGGCACAGGCAGTTGATGGGAGCGCTGTGCACCACGGACAGAAACAGCCTGCTCTCAGAGATCCAGCAGCTCAGAGATCAGCTCCACATGCTCACAGCGGAGCAAACACAGCGCCACCATCAGGACAGCGCCGGTAAGACACGCTCATCAGCTACTGAGAACACCAGCTTCAGCTTCCACTGCATACAGGTTTTTAATTCTTTGTTGATCAGGAATGGAGAGCGAGAGGCAGGTTGAAGCAATGCCGGTCGGATCCGGCTCTGATAGACTGGAGGAGATGAAGACTGAACTCAATCAGACTAAACTAGAGCTACAGAGCGCTCTAAAATCACAACACAAACACCTGAAGGAGCTCGACACACTCAGGTAACACCACACAGACACACACAGACAGACAGACAGACAGACAGACACACACACAGACAGACAGACACACACTCACACACACACACACACTCACACACACAGACAGACAGACACTCATACAGACACACAGACAGACAGACACACGCACTTAGTGATACACTCAGGTAACACACTCACACTCACACACACACACACACACACACGCGTGCGCGCTTA